CAAAGGAATTCTAAGCAACTGTTCCGTGCAAATCCGACCGGCAAAAGGCCCAGGGGATGGCGAAGATTAACGTGGTGCAAATATATGGAAGGAATCTCTTCCAGACTGCATTTGTCTTTTGCCGAAGCTGAGACTCTGGCACAGGCTCGGGAACATTGGAAGCACTGTCTGACGCGTCTGTCTCCGCGACCCGAAAGGAGAAGCGGCGATGGAAGATGAAGATGAATGCAAGATTTTATTTCTCTGATAAAGTAAACAAGGGAAATATTGTTCACACATAATCCACTTGCTTCTTGCGTTGTTGCAGAGCCGCATATTTAAATGAATTCCTTGCTGAGTGACATTAGCAGACCTTGGCATGAATAAAAAAAAATTAGCATCAGGTCTATGACTCAAACCGCACATCGCTGCCATGAAAAGTTGATTAACGATAGCCGTCGCCTCTTACCAAAATTAATAGATAGTGGTGTCGTCTAGTGTCTGGTATTGAAAACTCACTGTGTTTTGTTGCTGATTTAAGCCATCGTTTTGTGCTGTTAACATCGATATTGCCCACATCTCCGATGGACTGGTTGAGTTGAATATGTTCATGCCGATTCTGTCTAGTCAGCTTGTTAGTATTTAATTTATTCTACTGTTTTCTCATTTTTCTCTCGACAAATGTAACTTGACAGAGTGAAGATTTGTCTCTAGGTTCGTTAGGCTGGTAGTTGGTAATAGTGAGTTATTGATTTAGAAGAGAACGCTGCCGCCGACAAATCCGACGTACAAGCTATATCCGCTGACATAGTCGACTCTGTGATCTTGACTGATGGTTGCTCTGCTGACTCCATGGCCGATGATGAAGTGAGTGGTTATAAATTCAAGACGTAGTAATTACGTAACTGGCTTTGTAATTTTTCAGATTTTTGAACTTTATACGCGTTCGCAAGATTGCTCTGTCGTGTCACGTAGCGAGCGCTGCTGTCTCCAAAATGACGACGGTGTTCCGTCTGCTGCTGCCGGCAGTGGCTCGTTTGTTCAGGTGCGCCTGATGGAGGAACTGAAGTTGGCTCTGAGGGCAAAATCAGACGAAATGCATTCCAGGGAAGAAAAGGCTCTCCTTCGTTTGAAGTTGCGGTCCGGCGATAAGAGGATTAAGGAAGACGAGGGTCTCGTGCAGCATCAGTCACCGAAGGGGGAATCTATTCGCTCTCCTTTGGCGGAATCCACTACTAAAGAATCTGACGGTGTCACCGATGCATATCCAGAAACTGGTTTACCCCGCTCCATCGTTTACCGCAAGGAAATGGAAGTTGATGGCAACGACGGGGAGGACCGAAGTCACGCATCTTCGTTTCGAGGGCTGCTTGTCGCTGAGCTGAATGCCCGCTTTGAAAGGGACGAAAATTATGGTGACAGCGTCGGCGACGTCGGTGTCTGTGATACGTCGCCAGTAACGTAAATTGAACAAACGCAATTAGCAGCGTTCGTTTCCTGTGTGACTCACCGCCATAAATTGCGTTAGGAATCTGGCCGCAACACAAGCGTGAGTGTGTTTCCTCCGAGTGAGATTGTTGCACGAGGTTCCGGCGCTGTTCGACTTCGATAGAAGTTCTTGTCCTTATAGCATGACCATGTTTTTCAGCTTTTGGAGGCGTTGGCTGCTTCTCCCATCATTCCCAAGTTTCTTTCTAGCTTTGAACTGTTCGTCTGCCCACTCTACGGTACGCACATCGCAACCATGCGCAATGCCGTGGCCTTCGTGTTTGACAGACTTTGGCTGCGGACAGCTGCATGTTGACCAATTCGCTTCCGCAAATACCACGTATGTTGTCAGCAACACGTTGTCATCCGTTTACTTCAGTGGTAATATATGCATTGTAATTTTGTCGCACTTGTTCAGGGACTTTTCATCGTAGCGTTACTACTACATCTTATAGTACTGGGGGTGACAGTGAACGGAAAATCTGCGAGTAATTATTTTCCGTTAGGCTTGTCGGACTTTACCCGCCTTCAGGAGAAGAGTAAAGCAAATGCAACGCAGTGCAATGAAATGAATGATAGACTTGCTACTTATCCGTAAAATATCGTATACATACTTTAGATTAGTCAGGAATAACGCGTTCTCGCAGAATATCTTAAACTACCGTTTCCTAGAGTGAAATTCGTTTGGAAATGTCAACACTGATTCGGAAAGGTGGAAAACACTGTTGAATCAAAAAGGCTGTAGCATATCTCCATGGTGAAGGCCAAACTTAATGGAACCTCACACGTGACTCTCGAAATTAATTGCAGACATAGTAACTGCATGCATGTCTTCCAAAGTGGCAGATGTGCTCAGGTATTCTATAGCGTTATAAGATTTGACGCATTCTTGAACTATGAATTGAATTAGATGCAGCTTTTAAGTTAGTAAATGTGATAAACCAAGACATGTTGAATCATGGGGTATTTGCTCGATGTTTCTACCAAGAGTTGAAGTTTGGTCAAAGCAAGAGTACACTTTCTGTCAGTTTGCCTGATTTGGGTGACGACCCTCTCCACCTTCAACTTCTTCCCTTAGCCTTTGTTGAGTGATGCTAGGGATACTTCCTACGACGCATATAGTAACGTGATTCCATCGATCATAATTAGTTGGAGTGCTTATTTATTACCCTTATTGCAAGTAGAATTTTTTTGGTACTACTAGTTAGCACTACTTTGACATGTTATTTAAAATATTATTCAGAGTGCAAAAATTATGGAAATGGTAAAGACGTTGCTGGTCCTCCTGTGATTTCGTTAGATTCAGCTGCAGCGCCTGGAAGTGATCGACAGTCATGGCAAAAAAGTAGGAAAAAGACGAAAAAACAGAAAAAGAAGGAACAACGAAAGTTGTTGAGGCGGTCGAAAACGAAGACTAAACTTAAACTTAAGGCTGAAAGTGCTGGCACCTTTTGAATATTCTTAATTTTAGTCTGTTTCATCCTGCGTCGTGTACTTTATGTCTCATTTGTTTTGTTTTGTCTTCATGTATAAATTACATAAGGTGTTGCATGCCGTCATGCGGGACATATGTGAGCTATTCCTTTCATTAAAGGTACAGTCTAACAAGAGACATGTTATCGCTCACCATGAAAAGCTGTATCACCTGCTTGATTTCGATCTGTTTCACAGTTGTTTTTTGTGACTGTTACTTTATCTCATCAACTTCGTCTAATATGACTCATTTACCAACAGGGACTCAATATTCAGCAAATTATTATAAAAACAATCGAAACTTGTTCGTAGCTCTTCCGTCATTGCAGAAGCCGTGCCACAGTTCTTTGCCTGTCATCTTCATTTCATCCGTCTTTCACATCAGGCCAATTTCGCCAGGAGAGCAGTTGGCGACCAGGGAGTTGTACCGTA